AGACACTGCGGGGGGGGGAAGGGACTCCAGTCTGAGAACGGTTCTCCGGTCTTTAAAGGGGGGACCTCATTGCAGGCCAGACAGTTGTGCAGGGAACAGAGAGGAGAGTTGCTGCAAGCCCTTACGATCCACTATTAGTCATAAAGTGGGGTGGGACATGTACCTGGGCTTGTTGGGAACACCGGACTAAAAGGAAATATGCAGAAAACCTTTGGCCATGCCCGAGAGAGGAAAAGAGGGTCATGTGATTATCAAAAGCCACCAATGTTTAGTTAACCCTAGACTCCAGCCTGTTTGCCTTATACACTCATTATTCCCAACTGTAGTCAATTCCCATGACAATTCCTACTCGTTGAAGTCAGTGGAAGTGGTACAAGGTTTGGTGAGGAAAAACAATGCATCTGACCAAGTGGGGTTTTGCCCGCAAAAGCTTAGGCTCCAATAAATGGGTTAGTCCTTCAGGTGCCCCAGAACTCCTCGATTGTGTGGACGTTTGGAGTGGGACCAGTGCGGATGAAATGCTCTTGGAAGGGCCCGATCCAACAGTGCCTGATCTTTTCTCGCTCTATCGCTGTCTTCTTTGACACCAGATCTCATTCCTGTTACATATGTGCCATAGGGGTTCTTCTGATGTGTGCCAAGCAACATTCACGTGATTCATGTGCCATTTTCCTCCCCTTTCAGGGCCCCAGTTGGTTTCCCTCCCTAACACTTACGTGCCCATTGTCATCCAATAAATTGTTGGTCAGCTTCAGTTTATCGAAAGATACTATTTGTTTCATCCATTGGGCCCCTTTAGCTGGAGAGTCTGGGTGATAATGAACTCTGCCTGGGGTAGCAGGGTCAGCTTTGCCGGCCACCAGCCAGGAGGAGCTGTGGAAGGCATATCTGCAAAGGAGAGGCAAAGCCATGTCAGTGACACTCGTGATAGGTTAAACACGAGTCTGAGAAGCCAGAGTTTAATCCGAATTCTGCCCCTGACTAGCTACCAGGCCAAGTCTTTCCCATCTATGCCATGGGAATAAAACACGAGGTCGGATCCTGCTCTTATCCAAGTCTCTATTAAAATGTTCATTGCCTTCAGTGGTAGAGGATCAGGTCGAATGAGAGGTCTAATTAGTTAATGGCAGATGCTAAGACTCCTACTGGTATTGGATAATGACCTATGCAGTGAGTAGTGGAACCACTGGCTACTCAGCCTGCGAAACCGGATCAGAAGTTACATTCTAATATTTGCGCTAAGTGTGTCTTTATCAGTGGATTCCCTATAAAACTTCCGGGCTGCTCTGGGCATGGAAAGTGCAGTTTACACACTTACATCGAGCCGTGAAGCATGCCTAGCAGAAAGAGCGTTTCTCCACTCATAAAGTGGTGTGGCCTCCCATGTCTAGCCAGTGGTAAAGCACCAGATTTATTAACAAACAAAATGTTTTCTTTGGTTTTCTGGTGGAATTCGCCAAAAGGAAAAATCTGCGTGACAGGAAAATGTATAGCTACCCGCACTTATTTGGGACGGCAGCCAGAAATGCTACCGAACACATACTATAAAAAAGTGTGAGGAAACTCTTTACAAAGTTACCTTCTGGCTTTAAAAGTGGGGATTTATGAGCAGTTTAATAGCAGTAACAGAGTGTAGCAACCTTGCTTCAGTCTTTCAAACTCTATGTTCAACAGTAAAAACAGAGAGATCTCCTATGCATGTGTTTACTTTACAAGCCAGTGTCTGTATAGGAGGGAATTAGACACCATTGGAGTTGAGCAGAAATCTTACATTAAAAAAAGATATTCTCAATTGGATGTTATATATCCCATTTCCCCTGACAAGTAAACATTTCTGTAACGCCCTGAAAATTTGGATATCTGTCTAAATATTTATATATTCGACGCTGAGATTCAAATGCTCACTGGCTTTTAGGCGTCCTGATCTGAAGCGAAATGTATTAATGCGCCTTTCGCTGTCTTCATATTAAAGGTGTTACAAATCAAATCGCATAATTGATTTGTGAGTAGCCTATTTCCTAGGTCCCCCTCCTATGTTCTCACTGAAAACAGAAAGAATTTGGAGAAATATGCAGTTGGTTTTGTTGGTGATTTTCCAAAATGGCCTCAGGCTTGGACAATACAAGCTCTTTTCACTGAATCATAAAGAAAACTAGTCTCGGAGATTAACGTGCACACAAAACAATGACCCTGTCCTTGCTGTATAGTGTCAATCACCTCCCAAAAGCTAGGCTAAGTAGTCTGCTGGGTTCTTTATAGGACGTGAAAATAAGAAATTTGATTCTTAAAAAGTACCTTCTGATTCTACTACGTGGAAACTACAGGTACATTTATATATATAGTAAATTCTACAAACACTTTCCCTCCTAAAATCTCTGGTCTATAATTATTGGGCTGAGAAAACTATGTTACAGTCATCAGTTAGCCTGATCTAGAAGATCGAAATGGCTTCCCGACATAACTGTCATCACTTTTTAAAAATATGAGAATTTCGAGTGTTTTTGCCAGACATAAGTAAAAGTTTCATAATCATGGATTAAAGAGATTTTTCTCTTACCCAGTAGTGTCTATGTTTTGACTGTGTTTGTACCTGAAGAATATGGTGTTAAGATGAGGGAATGTTTTACTTGCTCGGCCAACTGCTGCTCTCAGTTACACCATCAAAAATTCGAAATCGCTCCTAAACTGGAATTTCCAGCCAATCACACAGAATCTGGCTGGCTGATCCCAGAGCTAATTACAAAATGGAGTGACATCTTTTTATTAAAAACCAGGTATAGTACTTTAAAACATAAACACCCAGCACGTGTGGGATTTGGAGGGATCCTTCCTTGAAATAAGGAAGCCATACCTCATTCAAAATAACAAATCGAGCGTTTGAAATACTATCTAGTTCACTAGATTTTAACCTTCTATTCGTGTGGTTTAGTCACGGAACATGGAGGTTTGAAAGATAGATATAAAGGGGAGCTGAAGGGAAGGGGGAAAGTGTGGATCCATTGCTGGACAAGGAAATAGTTTTTTAAATGAAGAAGCCAATCTAGACCCAATCTATTTTTTAAATTAAATATTAAACCTTTTTTCCTGTGGGAATTACTCCCAGGCTGTTGTGCATGAAGTCCAAGCACACATGTAACTGTAACCAAGCTTAATTTATGAGCTGTATGAAATACTAGGAGTAGATTTTAAACCCCCGGTTCAAATACGTTTCAATTAAAAAATTCTCTCACTCAGCATGTTCGCGGAGTGGACAAAAGTCACCGTCATGCGTTTCACAATAGAGCTCCTGGGTTTCAGAATAAGGCCGGGAGAGGAGGGGGAACCATCCTGCTTCTGCTTTCCTTCCTTTTGCCCTTCAAAATCACAGCCTGATCCAAAGCCCGCTGAAATCAGGGGAAAGTCTCCGACTTGCTGCGTTGGGCACTGACTCCGGGAAATAAAATGTCAGTGCGTCTCTCTCCCTCGGCTCCCCATCGCAGTCCTGCCTAGAGGACCCAAAGAAAAGCTTATTCTACTTGCCGGTATCTTTTGTCGTCCACGGGTACAAAATCCATTAACAACATGTAATCAGCCATCGGGTCCATTCCAAATATCTTCACCTGGAAGGTGGGAAACATGCGCCTAGGGCAGGAGAGAAAAACCACAACGCGTGTGTCAGAACAAGCGCCAGCTCTGAGCCTGCGGGACTGGGAGCTTACACTTAGCTGCGTTCTAGCCTCGCCTTTCTGGCGGGAGAGCGGCGGAGCACAACTCCGACTAGGCTGGGGCGTCGTGTGATTTAGGGGCAATATATCCATCCCTGCCCTGGGAGAACTGGAGGACTTTACAGATCCAACTTGTATACTCTTGGGGACTGGAAACACATCGTGGTAACGCGGAAAGTGCGACAGCTCTTTGGGGGGAGGTTCCAGCTCGGTCTTGGAAAAGACATCAGGGTCCGATCCCGAACAGCTTCCCCCAAACTGACCCACCAAGATCAGCCCTTAGGACATGCATGAAGTTAGCCTAGTGATTGTACACTGATGGTATATTGCCTAAGTCGTATAAGAAGTCGCCGAGGGACGTGAGAGAGCCTGGGACGGCCGAGAAGTTAGGTTCAGTCGAAAAACCCTCGACGGGTGAGCACGGCTCGTTGACACTAACACAAAGCTGCTGTGTTTTAATAACGAGATGATGTTATTCTGGAGGGAGAGGGAGAATCAGGGATGCGCCAGGCTGGCGGGCAGACCGAGCGTCTCTCTGGGTGGCGCTGTCGGTATCTCCCCCATTTCCACAGTGCGAGAGCGAGGGGTGACTCGCCCTGCCATTTGGCAGTGTGTTTCCCCGCTCCCCCCAACTAGTGCACTATGCAGGGCGCTCCTTTGTTTTCCTGCAGGGCTGCGCGCAAATGTCCGGTAGTTCTCGGGGCTTGGGTGCGAGGACTTTCTAGCAGCGCTCCCAGGGGAAATCTCTCTGCGAACTTGCACATAAAACTTTGGGTTGAATATAAAAGTTTGTGGGCGACTTTGTGAGCCATTTGTGTGTTTTCAAACTCCCTTCCCGAGTCCTTCGGACAGAACTGCATCTCTCAAGCTTGCGTTGCAGAAAAAAAAGGAACCCCCGAAAGCTACAAAATAAGCCGGCAAACCAAAGCCAGTCCACTTCAAATCCAAGAGAGGAAATCCGTGGAGGTCCATATAAGGGTGTAGACCCCCAACTCATTCTCACACTTCAAAGGTTACCAATGCCCCTCTGCTATTGTTAGGAATCGGGAGACTCCCGGGGAGCCACTTCTCTCTGAAACGCACCAGGCATTTCTACCTTTTCACGCCCACTTTGCTCGGCTCCCAAGTTAAAGCAGGAGCGAAGAGCAAGAGAGTGTGAGCTTGTGTCTGAGCTGAGGGGTCCGCATCCCGGTCTCCTCTCCGTGACTAGCTTGACTGTGGCTTGAACAATGGCAAAGAAAGGCACGTGAAGCCCTCTGGGTTCCTTAATTTTGTACACAAGGCTAGTGGGATGAGAGGTGAGTTGCCCAGGGTCATTTCTGACGTTCCATCCCCGCTGCACCAAAACCTCATGGACCGGGCCAGAGAGAGCGAGCGACTGAACGCGTGGGTGTGTACGCGGGAGCGGGGGGAACAGAGCGTTTGAGGAAATTTGGTCTCAGCCTCTTGACGCTTTCGAGAACAAACGGTGAAATAGACGCAGCTAAGCGGGCGCTCCCTGCCACTGCCGGGCGAACGCGAAGGGGGGAAATTGGAGAGGGGATTCTGTGGTTCTTTCTTCCGCAGTTTCCTCCCTCGAGTGACACCAGGAAGGGACTCGTTCTGCTTGGGCATCTCGACCCACACACACAAAACCAACAATCCACGCTGTTGGAGACCAGATGAGCTAATGAAATGAAATAGCAACTCTCCCCCCACCCCATTCCACGGGAACAAGTACGCACAATAGTCTCTGTTCCATTTAGAGCCAACGCTGAGGGCTGGGGGCCGCTCTGTCGCTGTTTACCCCAAAGCTTCGGTCTGCTTTTGGATCTGCTGAGGTTTGTTTGTTTGATTTTTTTGCAAGGCGAGCAACGAGTGTGGGGGTATGCAGAAAGGGCGTGCAAGGGAACTTTAACCCACCGGCCTTGAAATGCATTCATACTGAAGCTCGAGGGGGAAAATGAAACTATCTACACATAGTAAGGAGATTGTCCAAGAAACTTAGCTCGTTTGCCTTGCCTTCATAGAACAAGCCTCGGAACTCGCTGGCAATACAAGTTATACCTATTTCCATTATAGTACAATACTGTAGTAAATATTAGTCCGTCTCAGAGCCCAAACGCTTTGGTAGCAATTACTGGTGCTCATTCTAAACAACCTGAAATGACATACGCCTCCGTGAAAACACAGAAGCCAACGGGAGGTAGCAAGCCAGTTAAGAAGCCAACTGTGATGATTTTTGTTGTTAAAGTCATACCAGCTCCTACGGAAAGCACAATATTTTCATACATTACTGATTTGTTTTAGCAAATCAGCGCGGACACTGAAACCGCCCTCGATTTAGAAGATTTAAACCCTATTAACCTTAACTCCAGTGTTTCTTTTTTTAAATGAAGCTTTAAACAAACAATTTAGCTTGATAAACCCCAGCTAAAAAAACACTGAAGGCCAACACAGGCAACCGTGAAAATAAATGAGACCATTAATAGAGCGCAGTTGGAATCAGCAGTTGGAGTCTGCCTTTCACATTCGTGTGCATGTTTTATTTTAACACCAGTTTTGTACCTCTTGCTCGTTTAGCTAACCGTATCGCCATTTAAACCTAATCCTTATTTTACTATCATTTCGGCACCTATAAAGTTATTTCACAAGGTGCCCCAGGACCACTGGTTGTTCATAAAGTCAAAATATCTGAGTTATTCATAGTTCCACAATTCAGATTTCTCCCACTCTCACCCCCGTATCCCCACACCATCCCACCCTCATATGTAAAATCAAAAGGACACCTCAGGTCTGTTTTCCAGGAAGGCTTATCTGATAGCTAAAATGGCCTTGTCCCTTAAAAAAGACTCCGATGTGATTTGTAGTCAGTGGCTGGAGGATAACAGTGACACTAAAGCATTAGGGAAGTAAAAGGCACAAGCCTTAGTAACAGGTTAGAGGGCGCAACAAGGTGGGAAGAAATCTCCACTAGGAAGGACTAGTTCAATCCAAACCCGAGTCGCTAAGAAGCATAATCCGGATAAGGTCTGACGTTTATGGTACAGGGCGGCGCTGGGAAATGCCTTGTCTAAATGCGAACAAGCATCTAGGCCTCTGATTTTTAAATTCCTCCCACGGTTCTCCGCACTGTAACCATATCGATGCAGTGAAACAAACCTGAGCTACCCAGCTCTCTTTCTGAGGTACAGAAGTTTAGGAAACACTCCCCTTCATAACTCTTACAATCAACCAGAGACATCGGGCCCCTCTCGGGCAGGAAGCAAAAGCGAGGCTTACTGGGCGCTAAAAGGATTCTGAAATCGTTTCTCGGGGCATTGTTCATAACACTTCTAAGAACATGGGGAATTATTTGTTGGATTTTGCGGCCTTTTAAAGATGAAGTTATAAGGTGCCATTCGCCAGATATTGCAGAGTGATAGGATCTACAACTTTATTAACTATCGGAGAAGTCAGTCAACACAATACAAATCGCAAGTACAAACTCCGATTGCTCTAAAGTCCCTGTTTGCCCATCAGAGACAATGTAAAAAGGCCGCACGGAGTGTCACTAAAAGGTGTTCGCACACACAGCCCCAGGGTTTTGTCTTACAAGGGACCAGGAGAACACATTGTAATGAACGTGTCGATGTATTGATCCTCTTTATTCGCTTTCAAATGCTCTAAAAAAATCCAAAACGTTGCTTCTCCTGCAGGGGCTCATAGCAGAACCATACTCAGGGTCAGTTTAGCTATTTCACCTGAGATCACAGTTAAATGGCGTCTAATTAACAGGCACAGTCATAATCCTGCTCCCTCCTCCCCAGGTAGCTGTTTAATTAGCTGGAGCATATAGCTTTCCCTTTTAACGCGATATAACGTTCGCTTCCTTTGTTCGTTTCGTCGAAGAAGCTTTATGGTAAGTGGTGTACTGCCTTTTTGGGCTTACATTGATGGAGCCGATCCGGCCCTCCTCAATCTGGTAAACTACGCGCTACAAATGCTAGAAGATTTACTGGGACAAGGCACATTGGTTTGGGCTCTTTAATTCATATTCTGAATGTTAGTAATCTGTGGAGTCCATAAGGCAATGCGGAATGAACTGCGAGGTGTAGAAAAGCTGTTATCGATAATCGCTTCGAGAATGCTCTCAAACATCAAATTAGATCCACTTCTGTTCCATGAATATTTTTGACCAGAGGTGGGCATTAAACGGATCCCGTTAAATCTTGTTCGTAAAGAACAGGGTCCTCTAGAAATAAATCTGTTTTTAAATCTGGCGTTTGAGAGTCAACGGCAATTTTAATCGTACTGACTTTGTCACAGGAATCAGCCTTTTAAATTGAAGATTCAACATTTTTTTTCTTAAACCTACACTTTCCTATTCTGGAATCGAATCCGAGGGGTGCTGAGGGAGATGGAGACATTTTAATGCACCACTTTTAATACGGGTTACTGTACGTTCTTTCACACACCATCCAAACCCTGCGCTCCACAAGAAAATTGCCGATTCTGCAGCTAAAGGAGTGCAGGGGTCAAATGCCTTAAATCCTTTTCAGTGGATTTTTAAACACTCTATTTTCTTCTGAAGGAAGCAGATAAATAGCTGCAGCTTTGTCCGCTAAGTTTTCACGAGAATCCCTGAGAAGGCGGCTCTAACTGCTGCCCTCCATTGCTATGAAACGCAGCCCGGGCCAGAGAGTGACCTAACAGGAATCCCACAGAACTCCGCGCAGCGCACGAAACGCTACCGATTATGTCGCGGTCACACCTAGAGAGCTCCCGCTGGCAGGCCCGTAAACCTTACGCTACTTTCAGCGCGCCGTAAAAAAAAGTATTTTCCTGCCCTCGTAAAACCGATCATAAAAAGGCAGAGGAAGCCCTGGGGGGGGTGGAAGCAGGGTTCGTTGGGCAGACAACGCTCCCCTCTTCCAGCCGGCTCCAGGGCTGGCTGGGTGCCTCTGGGGCACAGGAGAGGGACTCCGCTGCCACCTGGCCGCCCCCCTCTCCGAATTTGCGGGGATACCCCCTGGGATCCTAGGCCCCAGGGTGCGCGGGTGGGGGGAGAGGCACTGAGACAATGGCCTCACTTCCCCAGACTGAGCTTGTGTTTTCAAAGCAGCTCGCTCTGGCACCGGGGGGGAAACTCCCTCCCCGGCCCGGCCTGCCCCCGCCCCC